TATTTGGGGGGCCTGCAACTTTCTGTGTGGAGCCTTGGATCGCAGCCCTAGGAAGGGACGCCAAAACCTTGAAATTCCGGGGAGTAGGGTTCGAGGAAGAATCGCTCCCCAGGCACCCAAAGGTGCCAGAGGCTTGGGCGTCTGTGGGGACTCCGGCTTCCCCCAGAGTGTACTTTTAGGAACGGCCGACGTGCAACCTCCTTCAAGAGATTGTATTTTCCCAAGCTTGAACGATTCACATTCCCGCTCCCTGTGGACTGAGGCGTTAGTTGTGGTTTGAAATCTTAAAAAGGGGAGGGGGGTATTCGCTCTGACAAGCCTAAAGTTCCTGTTGGGGGGTGTTTCTTCTCCTTAGCGACCTTACGGTTTGATGCTAGTTGACGATGCCTGTATCTCCCCCATATCCTTTCAGTCTCTAGTGATTCCTGAAAAGTTCCAGCACATTTTGCGAGTACTCAACACAAACATCGATGGGCGGCGGAAAATAGCCTTTGCCATCACTGCCATTAAGGTAAAGTAGGGTAAGGGAACCCAAATGCAACTTGGCTCTCTAGAAAAGAGGCAAGATTGAGGAGACACAAGTCCGTCTATATTATTTCAGTTTCAGGGTTAAGAAATGAAAAAGAGAATGACTTTATTCCATTAACCCTTAGCATATTTCTCACAAAAGGGAATTAGTAAAAGCCAGAATCGAATCCAAATTTTCTTGGATTATCAGTTTGTGAGATCCTTTCTAGATTCAGTTTCTTCAGGACCTCCTCTCTCCCCCAGTGCATTATAATATAATTTCTGTACTGTACATCTTGAGGGGCGAATGGAAAGGTTAACAGATACCAAATGTGAAGTGGCGGTGTGTGAGCAGGATGCCAGAGGTGAAAAGTACAGCTCCTAACCAGTTGAAGTGGAAACCCATCACTAGTCAATGGCTTGTAAGAATTGAAACAGTAAAAGCTTGGATGTTTCTCTTCACAAAGAATTTCTGACCTTCCAGATGGAAACTTTGTATGGGGTGGACTGGAATTTGAACTTGGTCTGTCACATGCTGTGCACCACCAAACCTCATCCCTAGCCTCTTTTTCCCTGTTTCAGTCAAAACATACATTTAATTGTGGGATTATCTGAATGTTTTTCTTGCCTCCATAGGGGTGGGGCTCAGCATGTCTTAATCATCACCTACAGCCTCTGATATATGGTAGTTATACCTGTTGGGCAGTGGATGGTACTTGGGTAAAGATGGGTGTATAGTTATCAAAAAGATAACTTATGGAGTAAGTCTTTATAAGGTTTGTAAAAAAATTTTTTATTTTATACCCAAGGTAGCACAGCCTTCATATGTTCTTGTGGGTCTATCCTGCTTGTCCCTGGGAATGGCTATTCTTACAGCTTAAATGAGTCTTGTAGTTTTTAATAATTGTGTAGAAAACCATCAAAGTCAGCTAGAGCTCTTCCCTGGTGGGAGAACTAAAGATTGTCTGTTTTTTAGTTGTCAATGGACCTTTATTTATATGTGGTGGTGAGAATCTAACCCAGTGCCTCACATGCTGGGCAGGTGCTCTACCATTGAGCCACAAACCCACCCTAAATATGTCTTTGTGGGTGTCTGGTGTGTGGTGTTAGGGATTGAATCAGTGGCCTTGTGCATGCAAGGCAAGCACTACCAACTGAACTATATTCCCAGCCCTAGAGATTGTCTTTAAAGGATTTGTATAGGGGGTGGGAAGTAATTGAAAGGATACTGAGAGGTTGGTTATTGGGGGGTGGGGGTCTCCAAAGATGTGATTAGCAAAATAAATCTGGAAAGGACAAAGAAGTTTACATGGACAGGAGAGGGTATTTATTGAGAGACAACATAGATCCTGTGAAATTATTTCATGCCATAATGGTCTTCCTCGTGTTTTTTTTTTTGTGTGTGTGTGTGTTTGTTTTTGTTTGGTACCGGGGATTGGGGCTTGAACTCAGAGCACATCCCCAGTCCTTTTTCAGATTTCATTTAGATATAGGGTCTTACTGAGTTGCTTGAGCCTTGCTAAGTTTCTGAGGCTGGCTTTGCAGCTTCCTCGTTGTTGCTTGTATTCTTTAGGGCTGGCCTATGCCTTCATCCCAGGGTGTTAACTGCTAATTGTTGGCTATTTGGAATTGGAAGATTGGTAGAGGGGAGATTGAAATTGGGAAGTGCCCATTATCCTTATTTAAAAGAAATTCTTGGGCTGGGGATGTGGCTCAAGCGGTAAGGCGCTCATCTGGCATGCGCAGGGCGCTGGGTTCGATCCTCAGCACCACATAAAAATAAAATAAAAATGTTGTGTCTGCTGAAAGCTAAAAAATAAATATTTAAAAAATAAATAAATAAAAATAAAAGAAATTCTTGTCCTACCCAAACCCCTGTACCGCCCCCCAATGAATGGCACTGCTTTAAATACTTTGAAAGAGTAATATCAAGTTGGTGTTAACTCTTCTATAATACGGTCAGGCTTTTGGATTACAAAGATGAGGAAATGAAACATTTCATAGTTGTATATTCTAACTAAAAATTGGGCCAGGAGCAGTGGTGCTCACCTATAATCCCAGTTACTTTGGATGCTAAGGCAAGAGGATCTCAAGTTCCAGGCCGTCCTGGGGAACTTAGCAAGACCTGGTCACAAATTAAAAATTAGAAATCTTGTTTCATTCATACCCATTTCCATTTTGAAGTAAATATGAGATAATAAATATTTTTAAGTAAATTTGAGAGGCGCTCTACACAATCAATCTGATATTTGGTCCTAAGTCACTTACAGAGAGGAAGTGCCAAATACTTTCTTTTCCTGGGGTTACTATTACAAGTTACTGCAAACGTAGCTTAAAACAACTAATTCCTCTCTATCTCCCATCATTGACTGTCCTGTCTGTGCGCTCATAAGTTCACCAATCATCGGAATTAGGGCCCACCCTGATCCAGTGGGATCTTACTTTACCTAACACTTCTACAAAGAAGACATAGGTCACATTCTGGCAGTCTAAGTGGACAAAAACAGGTGAGGAGTACTATTCAACTCAGTACACCATTCAATATCCACATTAGTTTGGTTTATAGATTCAGAGAGTTGGGTGCTGGTTGCTGTGTTGTGACAGATGTGAACATTAGTTTTAATTTGGGCAGGCTCCCTGTGTACTAGAAACCTGGGCAAATTTTGAGTTTGTGAACATGGAAAACTTTGGTCACTATTGACTTGCCAAAAGAATTGTTAAACTTAGAGATCCTGACAGCTGGCAGTCCAGCATCAACCTTGTTAACTCACAGGACCCCAGTTTTGCTATATCATCTTGGAGAAAGAAGCCCTTTATTCTTCATGATGGAGGAATCACAAGGCACACCTACATACACTGGGCAGTGAGGAGGAAGAAAAGGACTCATCTTGGTTTTCTTTCTTTGGTCCAGTCCTTAACCCTGAATCAAGTTCTTTCTCCTTTGTATTTAATGGTTAGGCTTTATATCTGGGAATGTGAGAGAGGAGTGATCTAGGAAATTGCAAAGCATTAAATTATTGCAGGTTCTATCTTTGCGGGCTTTTTGAATATTGGGACTTTAAGGGAAACCAAAAATTCAGATTCAAATCTAATTCTGAAACCTCTTAACCTCAGGGTGTGGGGCGAAGGTATGCCCATGTGGTGTTGAGGAAAGCAGACATTGACCTCACCAAGAGGGCTGGAGAACTCACTGAAGATGAGGTGAGGACACTGAAGGGGGCTGGAAATTGGGCCCACCTTAGAAAGGGGACCGGCCATCTAAATTTAACCTTGTCCTGCCTACCAGGTTGAACGTGTGATCACCATTATGCAGAATCCACGACAGTACAAGATCCCAGACTGGTTCTTGAACAGACAGAAGGATGTAAAGGATGGAAAATACAGCCAGGTGTGTATTGAGATAGGAGGATTTGGGGGTTCCTATAGAGCTGGGCACTGGTCAGGGAACAAAAATACATCCCTTGCCTCCAAATCTAGGTTCTGGCCAATGGTCTAGACAATAAACTCCGGGAGGACCTAGAGCGACTGAAGAAGATTAGGGCCCACAGGGGACTGCGCCACTTCTGGGGGTAAGTGGGAATGGGGCTTTTACCTCCCTGCCTGCTCCTAAATTCCCACAGCCATGCCTCATATTATTATTCCAGATTTTTGTGCTGTGTATGACCCTTCTTTTTTCCACCTGCAGCCTTCGTGTCCGAGGCCAGCACACTAAGACCACTGGGCGCCGCGGCCGCACCGTGGGTGTATCTAAGAAGAAATGAGTCTGTAGGCCTTTTCTGTTAATAAATAGTTTATATACCGATGGTTTCCTGCTTTGTGCTTCTCTTTCGTCTGGTGTCATTGATACACTGGGATGTTATGATGATGCTGGGCCCTGTCATTTCTCCCTTTCCACTTAATCTGGAGGTGTCCCCCTCTCATTCAAAAGTAGTGGTTGTGCTGTTTATCCACCACTATCTGAAGCAACCCCGTTTCCAGCTGGCAGTTAGTTACCTCACCCTGTAAAAGTTTGACAAAGATAGAAACAGTGAACACTTGCATCCTGGAGGGGGAGCCTAAGCCAGGTTCTGTGGGGTTGGTGAGTGGTAACTGGAGCGTGGCTAACAGCCCAGCAAGCTGCAACTCTGGTGAGTTACTGCCCTTCTCAACCCGCCCCCCCCAACCCAGGCGCCTTTTACCACTGACTTCCAGTCCCAAGTGCTTTTTTTTTCTTTTGTTTTTTGAGGTAAGGTCTCCCTAAATTGCTGAGACTAGCCTTAAATTGATCATTCCACTTAAGCCTCCCAAGACGCTGGGATTACAGGCATGCATAACTGCCAGGCTTGTCTACGGTTTTTAAAGGATGAAGTCTTCAATGGGGAAATCTGGGGTAACCTGGTACGCCCAAAATCCTGACTTGGGGCAACAAATGGCTGGCGTTTGGGTCCTCTTCCCCCTGGCGCAACGCGTGCCACGCTGCTGCTCCAGACCCGGGTGTATCCTGTGCACCGCTTCCTTCCGCGGGGGATGATGGGAACGCAGCGCATTACTGGGAGAAAGGCGGGGAAGGGGCGGCAGGCACTGCAGTGGGCCAGCCATGGAGCCGAGCTTGGCGGCGGCGGGGCAGGGGCGACAAGGTAACGGTCCCCACAGCTATAGCAGTGGTCCGCCGCCGGGATACTTCCCCACACCCCTTGTGGTGCATTGGTACCTGACACACGCCCTGCAACCTCCCTACCCCCATCCCCGGCGCGGCTGCGGTTGCTTATCCAGCCGGGCTTTCCACCCTCTAACCGCCCTCCTTTCCCTCCAGATCCTCTCTGACCGCGTCACACCATGCCCCTCAGCCTCTTTCGGCGCTTTCTCCTTGCCACCCTGCTGCTGGTGATCGTCTGGACCCTCTTTGGGCCCTCAGGGGTGGGGGAGGAGCTACTGAGCCTCTCGCTAGCATCCCTGCTCCCAGCCCCCGCCTTGCCGGGGCCGCCCCTGGCCCTGCCCCGCCTCTTGATCCCCAACCAGGAGGCTTGCAGTGGGCCCGGCGCCCCTCCCTTCTTGCTAATCCTGGTGTGCACAGCCCCGGAGAACCTGAACCAGAGAAATGCCATTAGGGCCTCGTGGGGCGGACTGCGTGAGGCCCAAGGATTGAGGGTGCAGACACTCTTTCTGCTGGGAGAGCCCAATGAGCAGCATCCCAACAGTGGTGCCCAGAAGAATGATCTGGCATGGGAGTCAGCAGCCCAAGGGGACATCTTGCAGGCCGCTTTCCAGGATTCCTACCGCAACTTGACCCTCAAGACCCTCAGTGGGCTGAACTGGGTCAACAAACACTGCCCCATGGCCCGATACGTCCTAAAGACAGACGATGATGTTTATGTCAACGTCCCTGAGCTGGTGTCAGAACTGATCCTGAGAGGGGGTCCTGGGGAGCAATGGGAAAGGGGTGTGGAGCCCCCGAGATCAGCTGATGCTGTAAACAAAGAGCCAGAAAGCCAGGCAGTGGGGAGTCAGGCAGTGCCACTTCTGTACCTAGGCCGGGTACATTGGAGGGTGAAACCTTCTCGGACACCCGGGGACCGGCACAGAGTGTCAGAAGAGCAGTGGCCTCCCACCTGGGGCCCCTTTCCACCCTATGCTTCTGGCACAGGGTATGTGCTGTCAGTTTCTGCTGTGCAGCTCATTCTGAAGGTGGCCAGTCGGACACCCCCCCTGCCACTGGAGGATGTCTTTGTGGGGGTAAGTGCACGACGAGGAGGCCTTGCCCCAACCCACTGTGTGAAGCTGGCTGGTGCCACCCACTATCCTCTGGACCGGTGCTGCTACGGGAAATTCCTGCTGACGTCCCACAAATTGGATCCCTGGAAGATGCAGGAAGCCTGGAAGTTGGTGAGCGGACTGGATGGGGAAAGGACTACACCCTTTTGCTCCTGGCTCCAGAGAGTCCTAGGCATCCTGCGGTGTCGGATGATGGCCTGGAGGCATAGCTGAGTGTGTGGGGCCATGAGGGGACTGAGGAACTGTGGGTCCAGCCAGCACCCTCTTTCCCAGGCCCTAAGCAGGAGCCCTAGTTGGCTGCAGCTAATTAGTTTCCTCATACCCGACCCTCAGTCTGTCACCAAAGATCGTGATCCAGACTAAATGTAGGGGCTTGGTCTGCCAGCCCCAAAAATGATCACCAAGGAGAGAGGGAAAATGTTGGTAATTCCCTCCAGCCAGAGCAGGAGAGGCACAAGAGCCCGCCAATAAACTTGTCTCTCCAACTGTTCAAATGTATTGTGTCTTCACCAGGACTGACTTCCAGAACAAAAACCTGGAGAGCTAAGAGGCTCTAAGCCTCCTGGATAAGGACATTCTTAGGGCCAAGGGAGAAAGAGGATAGCCCCTCTGGGGAGGAAAGCCCCTAATAGGCAAGGCAAAAGCCACAGCATTCATAAGGTATAGGACAGGGATGGAGGCAGGACACTGACCCCTGAGCCTAGAACAGTCCCACTCTGGACAAGGAAGAGGGAAGTAGGTGCACAGGAAGATCCAGACCCATGTAAAAAACGTCCCACCTTCTTTAATACTTAACCACCCAAGGAGCCTGGTGTCCAACACCAGTAGGGAAAGAGGGCACACTGTCACCTTATTCTAGGGAACAGTCATTTCCATCAGGTGATCCCACGTCACCCTGAAGCCTGGCTCAACGCACAAATCTATCCAGGGCAGATGGCCGGCTCCCCTTGGGCTTGGCCTTCTCTTGCTTCTGCTGCTTCTGCTGCTGTTCAATGTTCTGCTTGACTTTGTCCTGGGAACAAGAGATGGGTTGGAGCGCGACTGGGGATATAGCTCAGTTGGTAGACTGAGGCCATGGATTCAATCCCCAGCACCACCAAAAAGGAAAAAAGAGAAGGGGGGTAAAGGACACAGGGCCAGGTGAGCAGTGGTGGACTGACAAAGCCCAAGGTACATGCACGAGGTGGGTACAGCCAGAGAGAAATCTGGACCCCTCCAACGCTATTACCCTGTGCTCCTTGTCCATGACCTTCCTCTTCCTCTTCACCAGGCTCGCTGTGGAGCTGCGGCCCTTCTGTTTTGGCTTTGGCTGGAAGGCAGCCTTGGCCTCAGGGTCATATCCCTGAGGAAGGAAACAGAAGCAAAATCAGCAATAGCCTCAGACTCAGGGAACTGGCAGCATCCACCATTTCTGGGGATAGGCCTGTGCTGGGGAGAGGAAGTGGGGATGAGGAAGGGCCTGGGCACTCAGGGGCCACTCCATACCAGCCTCTCTATCCGTTCCTTCTTTTCTTGCTCCAAAGTGATGATATCAACCGCTGCCAGGGCTCGGGGGTCCAGACAAATGAGCTCTGCAGGTACCTGGGGGTGTCACAGGTGGACAGGAATGGGTAAGGGGTCTTTGACACTTAAAGGGACAAAAGCCAGAGAGACTACTCTTCCCAAGACCTCTGGTCCAAAAGCACCAGGGAGGTCCTTACCCCAGCCTCAAGCCACATGGGGGACACCTGCCCCAGCAAGGAGCAGCTTACCTTGTCTAGCAGGGCCTTCACCTCCCACTCCTGGCGCTGCTTCCGGCTCCTGTATGGGTTGCTCTCCAGGCCATCAAAGTTGGGCTCGGCAGCCCCTGGAGGGAGGAGCATGGAGCCATTTATCTCCAACCCAACTTAGTCCCTTGCCTCTCCCCTGGCTGTCTCAGGGCCACCCAAACTTTCATCCAGAATTCATTCACTAAATGCCCCATGCCCTGGCACACTTACCAGGCACTAGCATGCTGGTAATGCCTCCACTGTGCCCCACCCCCAGCACATCTTCAAAGGGGCAGAACTGAAGACCATGCACATGGCCAGAGAGCCGGTGGGTGAGGTATGACTTTTCCAGGGAGGGTGGGCTGGCTTTGCACTGCCCTGCCCATATGTTAACGACGTCACCCATTCCTGCAGACAGCAGTCCCCGCTGGGAAAAGGCCAGGTGTCCTGCTCCCTGTGGCAGGGTTCGAGCACTCAGAGGCTGGAATGTCCCTCTCAAATCAAAGATCTTTAGCTGATGATCCAGGCCAGAAGTAGCCATGTACCTGAGGGAGATGGAGAACGAATTTATCTGTTGGTATGGGTTTACTAAGGCCTGTGGTCAAGTCCAAGTGTCAGATCTGGAAAAGATGGTAGTAACCACTAATATCACATTAAACACTCCATTATGCTTCACACAACTTTGTACTATTTTCCTTTTATAGCTGAAAAAAGCTCAGAGAAAGGCAATCTGGGTTAGTGAATGGTCGGAGTTGGAGGTCAAGTAAGGCCCATTTCTTTTGTGTCTGCTCTCCTTGTACTAACACCAAACTGCCCTTTCAGGACACATGGATCTAATGACAACAAATGCCAGTATGCACTTAAATGTGGTGTCCCACTGCATAGAGGGCAGTAGAGCAGCTCAGCAAGGGGAAAGAGCATCTGCAGTGGTCAGGGAAGGCTTCCTGGGAAAGGAAGAATTAGCTAGGCTGTGCTAAATAATTCTCAAGAAAGCACAAGAAACAGAACAAATCCAGATACACCAGCACCAGAGTATGCACACAATGAGATGGAAGCAGAGGTTTGTCTTCAGGATTTATGGAAATACAAGGGAGGAAGGGAAAGAGGGAGAAAAGAAAGGGTAGAAAGGAATAAGGTGAGGGAAACCAGGAAGGGATGAACTGTAGGGTTTCCTTAAAGTCAGATTGAAGACCGTAAATCATTATCCCAACATTTATCTAGCAGTGCCAGATCACAAGGTGAAGACCACATGGATTTGAGAAAACCCACTCAGAAAGTAGTGAAGAGCTATGCTAAAGGGCCCTGCCCACCACCTTGCTTTCCCAGCAAGGCTGGTGATCAAGTCCTCCCAAGGAATCATGCACTCCATAAGTTGTTTACTTTCAAAGGTTGGAATTTTCATGTTCATTCTGTTTCTCAAACAGGGAGGCTGAAGGGAGTTCAGCCAGACCAGGGACATATGTTTGCCAATGGACCAAAGAAATTCTTTTTGGCCTTGGCTGTGAACCCAGGAAAAGGGGACTGAAGGTTTCCTATGAGCAGACTTGCCTTGCGATGGAGCCCAATAGAAGCCCAGCTAGACACTTCTGACAACAGGAGCAAAAGACCATTAGTGCAAACCAGGAATGACCAAGGGCTCCTGGGACACAGGGCACGCCCTGAGTGAACTAACAATTCAACTCAGGAGCATATATGCAGGCTCACCACCACCACATACCCATTTATGGGACTCCTGGGTAAACACCAGCCAGATGGGAGTTTAGGCTACTACTATACTACTACACTTACAAAAAGCAGTTCAGCCTTCAGAAGCCAAGCCAATCCTAATACAAGCTTCCAGAAAGCCTCTTGTAGAAAAGGTCAGCTTCACCTTTGGAGCTATGAGGCTTATCTGAAGAGCTCCTGAGGGGAATCAAAGATAAGCAGTGATGTCCCTAAGATCAAGGAGGACCAGAGTTGTTCAGCACCAAGGTGCTAACTAAAATCCAGGCCTCAGTGAACTAAGTGATCAAGCTCTTGGCAAAGGAGTGGGTGGCCTAGACAGCTCAGGGACAGCAAGTCACAGGTTAGGCCCAGTGGCCCACAAATGGCAGAAAACCTCAGAAAGGCCCCCTCACTCTCCAGAGCTAGTTTGGCATAGACAGGGAATGAAATGGGCAAAACCAAATCACACTAGTCCACAACAGAAAATTATGGCAGCCAAAGGTGTCGGAAAATCCTGAAGGCTTTCTTAAGTTGGTGACCACTGGGCTTTACCTTTTCCCATGCATTTGCTTACTGATTTCTTTTAAAACAACTTAAAAGTAAAGCTATATACTCTGTATTTAATGCAGCAATGTAAAAGGATAACAGCCTGTAGGAAACATCATTCTGACCACAATACCTGACAGGAAGACTACAAACTGGCTATACTGCTCATGCCCACAGGAGACCACAGTATAGAGAGAGAAAAACACCCGAGGAGAGCCCTGAGAAAAATCCATTAGGACTTCGGAGGTGGTCATGAGTACCACCAAAGTGATGCCACCAAAGCAAATATCAGAGCCCGGGCACCCAGAAAGCACTCAGTAAATAGTGCTTTTGATTTCTTATAATATAGATTGCTGAAGAACTTGGGGGCTGTGTACCTAGCTGCAGGAGTCAAAGAAGTCAAATTTTGGGTGACAACACAAAAATCCTGGGCAAATGGGAGAAGGAACTTTGGGAGTCAGGTGACAATTAAGTGACATATTCAGTGATGGACACATTAAATCCGGTAAGAGAAGGCAATTGAATAGAAACAAAATGCATCACCTGGTCAATCATTAATAAACTACAGCCACCTGTTGTTTTTGTTGTTGTTGTTTACATAAAATGCAACCATTTGGCAGGTGCAATGACTCATCCCTGTAACCTCAGAAGCCCAGCAGAGTCCAGCCCACAACATGTCCTGTGAATGCCTAACCAAGTGAAAGGAATTAAAAGGAAAATACAGATCAGATAGAACAGTGATCGTTTTCATTGGGGTAGAGGGGAGCAGGAATTAAACTCAGGGGCATTCGACCACTGAGCCACATCCCCAGCCTTATTTTGTATTTTATTTAGAGACAGGGTCTCACTGAGTTGCTTAGCACCTCACTTTTTTGCTAAGGGCTGGCTTTGAACTCGCAATATTCCTGCCTCCGCCTCCTGAGCTACTATGAATTACAAGCATATGCTACCACATCTAGCAACAGTGACCACCTTTGATGATGTTAAGCCCGGCACTCCTTATTTGCTAGGCACTGTGCTAAACTTTATGTGTCTAAAGTCTACACCAGCTTTATGAAGTCTTTAAACTAGGGCTCAGCACACTGTCACCCATGGGGCAGATCTGGCTCACCATCTATTTCTATACAAGTCATATGCTAGGAACAGGATTTACATTTTTCAGTGGATGAAGAAATCAAAAGAATATTTTGAGACATGAAAATTTTATGAAATTCAAATCTCTGTATCCACAAATAAAGTTTTATTGCAGCCAAGACCATTTACTTCAGCATAGCTACTTTCATACTATAACACCAGTCAGGGGGTGCTATACATAACATCTTTTTGTCCATTTTTTTTTTGGGTGGTGCTGGGGATTGAATCTAAGGCCTTGTGCATGCAGAGGAAGCACTCTACAACTGAGCTATATCCCCAGCCTGCATCTTTTTCATTTTTTAAAAATATGCCGAGAATCGAACCCAGTGCTTCACACATGCTAGCAAGTGCTCTACCACTGAGCCA